TTCACAGGGCCCGAGTGATCAGGTCCTCTAGGCAACACTGGTTGAAGGATGGCAGATTAGAAAGCCTGCCATTAGGCACAAGTGAAAGCCCTGAGCAGGCAGGGACCACCAGGACCTCAGACAGTGCAGCCTGCCACACTATCTCAACTGCAGCAGAGCAAGGCGCCAAGGTAGATGACCCTTGTGCTAGGAGTGACAGGAGGAAGCCAAGGCTTTCTACAAATGTAAGCTTTAGCCCCACAGGACACTATGCAACTGGGACGCATTGAAAGAGCTCTTTGTAACAGGATGCCAAAGCGCTGGAAGTTGGTTGGAGCCTTCACCATAAGGAGGAAACACGTCTTGTTATTAACATCAGCAATCATGCTATATGTGTGATCAGGCAGAGTTCTAGGTACCCAAGAATACACCAAATACAATACAGGCAGAGTTGGAGATGATTTGGCACAAGTAACTTCAGGAGTTAAAGTGTTGGATCATTTCTTCTCCAAAGGGAAAACTGTTTGTGGAGCCAGGCCCATCCCTCCACCCCAGTAACTACGAATGCTTCTACTGCCAGCAAACAACAGACATTACTGGGAGTCCCCTCATACTCACTGCTATCATTAACAAGCGTTAACAGAAGCTGTTAGTCTTTGCAATTTAACAGCTGGCAGGACAGACATAAGAACACCAAAGCCATCATACTGCCTCCAGTTATTTCCAGTTGTCAACCTTGGTTGCAGAAATATGCAAGACACAGGAACAGGAATTAAACCCTCAGAAGAAAAAAAAGGAGGTGGGTATTTATTAACTGGTTTCTGTTTGCCCTAGTATCAGTTGGGAGAGCAATATACTCACATTATGATAAAAAAGTTATAATAAATCTTCTCTCCCAGATTACACTGGTATGTTATGTATTCCTTCCATACGATCAGTAATTCTGTCTGGAAATCTGTTATGACCAAAAGGAAAGACAAAAGGGATGTCTGCTATATTTTTTTTTTTTTTTGCTGCTATATTTTTTTTTTCTGTCTTGCAATTTGTCCTTTTATGGTGCACAAGAAGTTTTAATTAATTGGAATGTAGATAACATCAAAAATGCCATGAAGGCTGTTATTCATGTTTGAAAAAGTTGAAATATTTTGTTCTGATTTCATCTGCATTAACATTTGTTTAATATTTAAAAAAATATATTTATTTATTTAAAGTGGATTCCCTTACACTTTACATATCTGACTTGTTTATGGTTGGATGTGCCTGGATGAGCACTGGGTGACACTAAAGGTACAAATTCCCAGTGAGTGATCAGAGTTCAGCATAAAAATAATGCTTTAGAGACTCAGGCACAGTTGTACACTGCTCAGTAACACAAGAAAGGGAGGACTGTTACAGTATCTGTTGCCTTTGGTTAATGGTAGATGTATTGTTTACACCACTTCCTAAACATCTTTCTGTATGAATTACTTTGTTAAATCAGAAACATGTATGACAAATTAGCTTAATTGCACCCTGTCAACAAGCACTGGTAAAACACAAACATCTGTAACACATTACAATATTCTCATTTTAAAACATAAGGCAATGATGCTATACGTCTTAGATAAAATCCTCAATTGTTGAATTCAGTGAATCCCTGCATTTCCTCAGGAACAAGACTTCACATACCAAATTCCAAGCTTATCAAATGTAGAGCCATAATAGATAAGGATAATATAGGGAGAGTCATGCTACTCTTTTCCAAACATTTACTGCTTTGCTTTCATAAGATGGGGACAATACCAGTCATCCAGGGCTCTAAGAGGCTGAACACTCCACCCATGTTGAATTGTGACAGCATTTTTCCCAAATTACAGCGCCATGAAGAACCCTTCATACAGCAGTAGGGCAGAACAAGCACTTTGTACATATCAGAAGCTTTCAAGCAAACACACCTAACTTACTTGCACAGGCCACCATAAGCAGCAATTTTCCTCATTATCACAATCCTCACTCAAGAGCTCTGCAGGCAGGCTTTTATACATGTATACTTAATTAATTAATCAATTTCTCTACTTCAGTCTACATGTACCATGTTTCACGCAGCTTGAAGTTATGTCTGTCCTATACATAGTACATACATAGTATTTCTGTACAGGAAGGACAAAGCCACAATACATTTAGGAGCATACATTTTCTCTTCCACGTTTTACCAAATTATACTGTGGAAGCAAAAGAATGCAAGGATAGGGTCTTTACCTAGAACAGCCACAAAGTAAGTGCCACCAAAATCAACCTGAACACAAAAATCTCTTTTCACAAACATCAGGACTGCATTTGAAAGAACGTTAAACAGATGCCCCCAGAAAATTACTTCCCCTGCCTTTTTTTATCCTAAACACTTATTATTACTTTTTGACTGATTTTCTTGGCTCTTACACACACTCCTGCTGATCTTCTTAGGTGGGCACAACCTTCCCAGCTTTCTTTTATCCCTCTAGTCTTCCTGCCAATAAATTATTCTACTTTTATGAAAGGTTTCTTTTATTTTTCTTCTCCCTCCACCCCCCAATAACCATTTTCTTCCGATCCAAAATGAGATAAAGCTCAGTGATCGTTTTTTTTTTTAATTTTATTTTTCTTCAATTAAACATGTGGACTGCCAAATGCCTTAGAAATGTATTTCAGACTTTTCTGTTTATTTGAAAGCTGCTTCTTTCAAGAAGACTAAGAATAATACAGTTACCATAGTTTCCTTATCCATGACCAATAAAATGCAGTTTGGAATAAAATAAAGCAAGGACGACTACTGAGAAGATTCACTAAACAACTGAATGTTGATAGCTTCACATTGGATCAATCCTAGCATTACTACTGAAAATATTCAGGACTAATCAATCCCCAGATTCTGGACTAGTAATGAAGCTGAAGGCTTATGCCTTTCTGATTACCAGCTATATGAGATATTTCAGTTCCAACACTAAAGATGTCTCTTCATGTAAAATCCGTACCTCACAAATTTAGTATCTCACCCCAGTGAGATTTCATATGTCTCTGTACTCTTTTGTTCCAGGAAGCGATTGTGTAGGAAGCACTTTACTAATGCTCAGTGAAGGTAAGAGAGAGATTAATTACCCGTAGAAACCCATTGACAAAGTAAATAACGTACTGCCTGTTCTTACAGTTTTGTTGGCCCCTGAACAGGCAAGTTTCTAGGAAAAACGCCAAAAACAAGCTTTTCTCTTCCAGTCAACTGGCCAACAAAACCTACATATGCTTCAAAGACTATACAAATTATACCAGCCTTGGATGCATCCATTTGCTTTCCTGATCAGAAGTTATATGATGGAACTTTACTCAAATAAAGTGATTTTTTTTTTTTTTTTAAGAAAAGCAATTGTCCTCAAGAACAGTGAATGATGAAAGAGAAAAACATGTCTGATGGATATTAACACCCACTGCCAAGTTATTTTTTTCCCTGATTTTAAAGAGCTGTGAAGACTTCCTTTAAATATACAGATATTTATAAAAAGGAAGAGAATACGTAACTATAAAATAATGAAACAAAAAATCCAGTGTTTTTTCTGTTTGATAAGCCACAATAATAAGAACTGTCAAGTCAAGCACCTGAATGGGAGGAAAGCAGAATTCTCCTCCCATGCTCTCAGTGCACACTATGGGATTGACTTGTATGGTGCCTGGGCCTCTCACAATAGCACACCAGGTAAATGTGAAAGAATGCAACTCAGCACCTGCAATACAGTCCCTTTTAGTGCAAAACACTCTGAACAGGAAATGAAGAAAAAATTACTTAAGCTAAACCTCTTGTGTCGCATCTCATGGCTAGCTATTTTGGTGTTCCACTGTTTTCTGGCCAGTAACAAGAGTTGAAACAGATGAGGTTAAATCAAAAGCTCTAACCATGGTTTGATAACCCCTTCATGTAAACAATAGGGAAAAAAAATACAGCAAATCTCTTCCTTACCCCAAACAACCAAGGCTATAGTCATGAATTCTGAGTACAAGAGGCAGGAAAGCTGCTCAAAGAACATTTGAATTTGTTGTTTTTAAGGAAAGACTGTTATCCTCACCATGCAGTTTACTTATAACTTTCATAGACCCCAAAAACACCATCACTGTGTATATCTGAGATAGAGGCAGAGAGTCTCAGTCAACATAATTTCAGTTATAGATTAACCACAGGAAAATATATGCATTTTTATCCTTGCCTTCTCATCTTGTGAAGGTATCATAGTATAGGGAATATTACAGAATATAGGAAGGTGTGTGTACATGAGTGTAAGAGATCACTCATATGGTGAACATGCTTCACTCCTCCAATGGAAAAGCTAATCCGTTCATGCCACTGAAAAAGCAATGTGTGTAACGGCACCAGTTCTAATGCATTAGGCAAAGCCATTATATTTTTACAGGAATGTCTTAAATCCTATTAATTATTGCCCATATTATGTTGAGAAGTACATTTTTAAATTGATTATCTCAAGCTAATCAGTGCAAGAGCTATAAAACAAAATAGCTAAAAGCATTGAATTAAAAAGGTATGTCTTTCACATACCCAGAGTTAACCTAACATGAAGGAGCAGTGAAGACCAAGCCTACATTAAACTTTGTACCCTTCTCACCTACTAAGAGGTGCATAGGCTGTTTTTCTGTTGTTATTTTAAAAAAATGTCATGTTTATGCCTTCAGTACACTACATTTCAAGGGTTTTTTTGCCAGCCTTGACTAGGTTGCTCATTAATGGTTTTAAGCTTCCTGTCCAAAACCATGCAAAAGCAGAGTTAACTGTGGCTCTGCATCCTGTTACATCACTGTTCTCCACTCCTCGGGAGGGCTTCGTGGAAAGCCCAGACCCTGTCATTACTCAGTTACAAGTGGTACACTCAGTAAGTGACATCTGAAGCCACATCTATCCTCTCTGCCATTATCAGTTTGGTCCCAGACCTCTCTTATAGTTCACAGCAAGAATTGACATCTTTCCTCATCCTGCCAAAAAACAGCCAGCATTACATGAGTGATACCTCATTGATGGCAAGCTGCTCTCCGCCTCCCCCAGCATGGCCATAGCGGTGGTTGGAGCTCCGGAAGTCCTCGTACAGGTCCTCCTCACTTCCCACATCGTCCGTCAGAGCTGTCTTATCCAGTGCCCCATCAGCAATCACTGCAACAAGAAAAAGAACAAATCGGTATAGACTACAAGATCATAAGGGTTGCATCACTTATATGAGCTCAGCAGGAGTGAGTGGTGTGATAATAGTATAGAGGAGAAAAAGACAAGGAAGCTATATATGCACAAGGCAGAGAACGCAAATACAATCTTAACATTGCTATGTTGACAGAAAAAATGACAAGGCAACAGGTTCATGACTGCCAAACCAAACGCTGAGGATTATAATTTATCAAAATCCTTACAGACCAAGGAAATTCTCAGCAATTCACCTTCCTCTTTTTGCACCCACTCCATTTGGGAACCTTTTTTGTTGCCTAGAAGGGTGTTTGCTACACGAGTATCCATTATTACCACAGGAGGGCCATTCTGCTCTGGATAATACTGAGTAAGCTGCAGATAATTGAAGTTCAGCAGTCTGCAGTGTGAATAACAAGTCTTAAGATATAAGCATAAGCCTAAGAAATAAAAAAATGGTATTTATACTTGCTATACATAGAAGAAAGTAGCTGTTCCTCTCTTTCATAGGCAGGAACCTCTTTCTAAGGTCTCCTCAAGGCATTAGCAAATACACTTCACTGGCAAGTTGATGACTTATTAATTTATTCCCTATCTGTCTAGGCTACTGAGTTCTCAAAATCTGTGAAAAATGCCAATGATTAAAGAAGACGTTTGCCGACATATTCATCTGGATTAGCAACTGATAGAAAAACAGTTTCCATGACAAAGAGGTGGGCTTCACAGAAGATTTCTGCACATGAAATAAGTAGCTAACACAAAGGCATCAAAATGTTTCAAGGAACAACAGCTGATGTAATTAATTTTAGCTTAATGGACTCAACATGGCTGTACTACTGAGACCAAATGAAGTGAAAATACAGATATTGATACCATTACTCATGGTGACATTCTCACTGTCAAAAGTTATACATGAATTCTGAGTAGCAAATTTTTTGTGGAACAGGTGAAATAACTTTTAGCTTGATCTCGTACAACTTGATAGGAAAAGCATGGGTCAAAGTGGACATCAGGAAGAGGTTCTTCACCGAGAGGGTGGTTGTACACTGGAACAGGCTCCCCAGGGACATAGTCATGGCACCAAGCCTGTCTGAATTTAAAAAGCGTTTGGACTGTGCACTTAGTCACGTGGTCTAAACTTTTGGGCAGACTTGTGAGGTGCCAGGAGTTGGACTTGATAATCCTTATGGGTCCCTTCAAACTCGGGATATTCTATGAAGTGTGTTTTTTTGTTTGTTTCCTCATTTCATTCCATAATATGGAAAGTGCACGCTATGAGCCTAATTATGACAAGAGGGGGAAAATAAAAGTGACTAAAGTTTCATTAGGTTATTACCTGAAAGGTAATATTAGGTTATTACCTGAAAGCAAAGCTTCAGAGTAATACAAAATAAATTGCCATAGACGTTACAGCAAGACCTACAAACATTATACTCATCAATGGTTTCATTACACATGATGTGTTTTATTTTTTAAGGCTGCATCAAGAATATGTCCAATGACAAGGTGAGGTGTAAATTCACTGTAGCATCAATCAGTTCAGTACAGTTACTTAACATCAAAATGACTGGTTTATGAGGTAATTAATTACCCCTCCTCCAACTAAATACCTGATTGTTTATGCTCTGAATTCAATAAATAAAACACAAAGACATATTCAACATCTAAACCTGGGATCCCATTCAGTTTTGATAGAAGTTCAGGATGTGGAGGTGAACATGAACTTATGATTAGAGCAGAATTTTCTGTGGAAGCGTAACTCTCCAACCATTCAAAATTAAGTGACATTGGACTAAAAGAAAAAATAATCAAGTATTCTCATAGCTTTGCTCTGACACATCATTTTACTATACAGAAGTTTTCTACTGAATACATGCCAGTAGTATACACAGCATAAAAGCAGTGCTGGGGCAGAGTCCACTACATCTAAGACTCAAAAACCAATTGGTATGCCACAGATATCACTTTATGCAGAGTTACTATGGTTTGCAGTTTAAAAAAAAAAAATTACATTAAGTGTCAATTTTTGTTCATACATAGCCTGGAAAATATTTATCTAATTGTGATGAACAACTTTCAGTGCATTTGTACAATAACAAAAACAAATTAGAAATGTTTTTCAAGAACATTTTTTTAAGGAAAGAGTTAGTAGTCACTTAATTCAAACCTTCTTTGCATTCATCTGATCTCATTCTTTTCCCTTATTTCATGCATGGTTTCATTGCTTTTGCATCTTCTGCTATTTTTCACTGCTAAGAGTAATTTTCAGTTTGAAAAATGTTCCCTGACATCTTTAAAGCTTCTGTGTGTCCCCACCCCCCATTTTCCTGTTTGTTCTCTGAATCTGTGCTTAGATGAAAAAGCAAAAGCTCCAGGGAGATATTTATCTGTATTACTTAAAATGCTCTATACCTCTGCTAAGTGCTGTGAAAGCTGTGTTTGCTTTTACTAAAGACTTGTTTTTCTTCTCTGAAATTACCAAGTTCATCATTTTTCACAGTCTCAAACTGTTACTGCATTTTGGATTACTTTTCTGAGGGGAAGAAGTTTTTAAGAAGTCCTCACGAACATATTCCACCAAAAATGCAGTTCATGATCATGTAGTTCATTTTTTAAGGTCAAATGGCCCAAGGTAGCTGTTTCATGTTTTCCACAAAATGACTGATGATCCAGGGAAGAGAGTATGAAAGATAAAAACTCACTCTGAAGCAGCTTACAGGAGAGACACGATTACAAACAAATTAAAACAGTAGTCTCAAATGGTGACCCAATGCACTAGAAATCCATCAGGGAAGTAGGAGAAGGAAGGCTTTCAATGTCAGTAATGACTCCACAAGCACAGCGTAAACTAGGTCAAGAAGAAAAGAAGCAAGCACTGTACAAAAATCTTTAAAGACAAGTTAGCAGAGATTGAAGAAGCAGTCTATCAGCTTCTCAACTGCACAGTGTGAGTTGGACAGGCAAGTATTAAGCGGCACAGTAGTTGGTCTGGATGCCTTGTTTCCCCTCCCCACCAAACGCTCATCTCCACTTAACACAGAAATCCACTGATACAGTCACAGCCGGCCTCCCTGTGACTTTCTAAAACCACTAATCTGACCTGTCCCTGGCCATCAGGCAGCAAGAGAACAACATTGCTCTTTCTAATGCCAAGCCTCCAAAATACATCCAGTTAACTCAAGTAGATTCTTCCATATTTTATACGGCTGTCGTGCTAGATTTTGTTAAATACAGCAACAAATCCCATACACGGGGACACAGGGATCATCAGCAACATTACTATAACAGCCTTCTGTGCAAGTATTAAAACTCTGCTTCCTACTGCTGTTAGCCTGAGACCAAGCTCCGAATTTATGGTATGGTAGCACAAAAGCAGATGGATAATGTTGGCAATACTGGCTGACAAAAAATGCTGCACAAACCGTTCTTATGCATCTGAATAGACAATCAGTAGCCTGTCAGTAGCCTGGCTCCACAAGGACTCATCTTGAAGATACAGAGCAGCAAAAATTATACAAAAAATGTCCCTGAGAACAGAACAGGCAGTCTGTGTTCCAGTGCCCGAGCAGACAGCACCAAGACAGGCTATGTTTGGGGATGATTAAGAAAACAAAAAGGAGCAGTTCTAAAAAAATAAAATGAAGCTTGATCAAAATTGAGGAATAAGGTATAACGTTCACCCTCACACCTTCCTACAGGTTTTGGGCTGCAAGTATAAGAAGTCAGCAGTGGGCAGGAGTCCAGGCTAGGCACTGCTTGTGCTTCCACATGCAGTGAGTGCAAATAACTCCAAGAGGTGCTTCTACACAGCTTACAGAGCTCTCCGTCACACCAGAAAGCCACTGAAGCTGTTCTCATCTCCAGGGTTTCGCATGGAAGGACCTCCTGTGCCCACAGTGGGAGACAGGCATTTCCTGTGATGGCCACAGCACAAGCCACAGATGCGCAGCTCCGATAGTGGCCGGACGGCTGCATCTTGCTTATAGGTAAATTATTACAGACCCTGGATAGTCTGAATCACCTCTTCCTACCCAGGGCAGTCGCCTGTATGTAGTGTTTTCTCTTGGGAGCCACCACACAGCCTGTCTGATGCTGGAGAAAACTGGGCCACACTGGGACAGCCTTGACCTACATACGGAAAATGGCAGGGAGGAAAAAAAGAGCAAAGCCTTGTATTGTTCATCTAAGCAGAAGAAGTTGGGATTTGATATCTACTGAAGGACACAGAATGAAGAAGAAGAGCCACAGTTCAGAGTCTTAACTCAAGGTGACATCGTTCATCACGCGCAAGCTCCTCCCCAATCTCAAAGGACCTGCTTTATACTTTCTACATGCCATGAATTAGTGAATGCAAGTTGTTGATAATTGGATAAAAACAAACAAACAAACAAACAACCCTAACACCACCAAAAAAGATTCCCACCCTCACTGGAGAAAGACAGAACTCATTTCTGGAGCGGTTTCCTCAGAGCAGCTGGGCACTGCCACCCCAGACCTCACACAGCCTGGTAGCAGAGACCTCTAAGACATGGGGGCATGAGTCTCACCCCACTGGAGAGAAGCTCCTGCCACGTGCCTGTGTCAGAAGCCAGGGACCTGGTACTGACGGAAAATGGACCACAGGCAGCCTCCCCAAAACTGTCTTTATGCAGTCTCCAGCTTTTAGGGGGTAAGGCTGAGATAGGAATCAGTGATTACAGACAGCTTTAAAAACCAACAGCCTCCATAGTTTATTAAAAGCACATTATGTTAATGACAAAGGGAACAAATTCTGTGTATTGGAAACACCTCTCATCAAGTGTGCTTTTCCAGTATCACATCCACACACTTAATAGGTCTCTATGTAGCATTTACATTTAAAATAATTCACTGATATATCAGTAGGAGCCTGATTTACACTCGCAGAGCAAATTAATTCAGAGCTAACAACATCATTCCCTCTGCCTCACTGAGCAGAGATTGCTGTGGTTATATGC